ATTTTATGTTGAAAGATCTTGTAAATAATACTTTATTGCTTTTTGACTTCCTTTCTCTATTGTTTCTGCCAACTCGACTCTACACCATAACTTTTCAATCCAGATGGATGGGGCAACCATTACTGCATCCAAAATGGTGAAAAGCCTTGGAGTAACGATTGATGACCAACTAAACTTCTCTGACCACATTTCTAGAACTGCTCGATCGTGCAGATTCGCACTCTATAACATCAGAAAGATCCGACCCTTCTTATCTGAACATGCAGCTCAACTCCTTGTTCAAGCTCTTGTTCTCTCCAAACTGGATTACTGCAACTCTCTACTAGCTGGGCTTCCAGCTAACTCTATCAAGCCTCTTCAACTGCTCCAGAACGCAGCAGCACGAGTTGTCTTCAATGAACCTAAACGAGCACATGTCACTCCGCTGCTAGTCCGTTTGCACTGGCTGCCAGTTGCTGCTCGCATCAAATTCAAAGCTCTGATGTTTGCCTACAAAGTGACTTCTGGCCTTGCTCCTTCTTATCTGCACTCACTTCTGCAGATCTATGTGCCCTCCAGAAACTTGCGTTCTGTGAATGAACGTCGCCTCGTGGTTCCATCCCAAAGAGGGAAGAAATCACTTTCGCGAACGCTCACACTCAATCTGCCCAGTTGGTGGAATGAACTCCCTAACTGCATCAGAACAGCAGAGTCACTCGCTACTTTCAAGAAACGACTAAAAACTCAACTATTTAGTCTCCATTTCACTTCCTAATCTGCAATTGCCTCTCTGAATATCACACTAACTGTATCAAAAAAAAAAAAACAAACAAAAAAAATAAAATAAAATAAAATACTAATACTACTAATACTTCCCTTCTTAGACTTTACAGACCTGAAACTTGCCTATAGCACTTATTCATTGTTGCTCTTGGTTGTGTAAATTGCTTCCTTGTCCTCATTTGTAAGTCGCTTTAGATAAAAACGTCTTCTAAATGTCTAAATGTAAATGTAATGTAAAATGTATTGTAAATAAATTCACTTACTTTTGCAGTCTTTTGGTTGTCGTGTTGATATTTTGCCGCCAACTCACCACAAAATATTATCACCCTAAATGTTACCTTTTAAACCCTAGAGACAAAACTTAAAAGTCGTAACACTGACCATCACACAGTATTCACCCTTGTTCCCGATCCAAAACCTTTTTCAAAAGATTTGGAATATGCCTGCACTTGTTTGTTTTATTTACCTCTTTGGTCTCAGATAAAAGTAGTTTAAACCTACATTTTCTCAACATTTCGTGACATGTTCAATTTCCTCATTATGAGGTTTCCCTCGACAGAATTTCAGACATCCTAAGTTAAAAAAACAACAACACTTAATCACATAATATTTAACAGAAATTTGTTTTGTTCTTTCTAAAACCACCTTTACCGACAGCTTTTATTGGTCGGATGGCCCAGTCATGCAAAATGTCAGTTAGGTCAGCGGAGTAGACGAAAGCAAAGTTTGGTCGTGAGCTGCTGGACGCTTTCAGCTGTGAACATACTCATATACTGTACATGTCGGCTACAGCCATATTACCCTGCAGCCTAACAGCTAAGCAGGGCTGAGCCTGGTCAGTACCTGGATGGGAGACCACTAGGGAAAACAAGGTTGCTGTTGGAAGTGGTGTTAGTGAGGCCAGCAGGGGGCGGTCAACCTGCAGGGGGCGCTCAACCTGCGGTTCGGAGTATGCCATAGTATAGTAAAGGGGGCACTATACTATAAGTGAGCGCTGTCTTTCGGATGAGACGTTAAACCAAGGTCCTGACTCCCTGTGGTCTTTAAAAATGCTATGGTACTTTTTGTAAAAAGTAGGGGTGTAACCCTGGCCAAATTCCCTCCATCGGCCCACTCTTTATGGTCCCCCAGTCATCCCCATCAACTAGCTGTATCTCAGGGTGCTTTCATACCTGTGAATCGATTCAGTTGTTCCGAAACAGAGATTACAATTGTTACATTGTTGCTCTTGGAGCGGTTCGCTTTTACACTGCAAAGTTTCCAATCGGACCAAAAGAGCTAAAACAAGTCACGTGCGAGTAAACTCTTCTCACATTGGTCAGAGTGTCAGGGTTTATTTTGCAGCGTCCCGCTCAGCTGTCAAGAGAGGTGGTGGTTTGGTGGTGATTGACAGGGTGCACGCGTGCGGCGTGTCTGAGGAGAGACGCGATGAGGAGGGATGACAAGGGTGCGCGACGATGCCTATTTGAGGACCGGGAGGGAGACGCGAGATTACCGGGAGATCATCACTCGTTTGCGGGCATCCGGAGACTCGCAAAACTTCCTGCCCTACTCATAATTCTCTCTTCATATAGCCGTAAGCCTATTACATATCCATAATACACTGTGATATAACCACGCTCGGATCGGATCGCTTTCTCACTGCAATCGAACCGCTCCAGGGTTCGTTTCAATTGAGCCGAGACCACCTCATTAAAGCGATCTCGGAGCGATTACTTTGGCGCGGAACAGAGCGCGATTGCCCTGTTCGCATATGCCAAACGAACCGCGCCAACTGGGCAAACGAGACAAAAGTCTAGGTGTGAAAGCACCCTCAGTCTCTTTACTCCACTAATAGCTGGTGTGTGGTGAGCGCACTGGCGCCAATGTACTGTGGCAGCTGACGCAACATCTAAGTGGATGCTGCACACTGGTGATGGTGTAAAGAGACCTCCCTCATGATTGTGCCAAACATGATAAATGCGCTATAAAAATACACTTTAAATTACATTTCTTTATATAACTGCTGTTTTTATTTACAGCACGCTTGCATTGATATTTAACATCTCTTGCTTAAATACACTACTGAACAGCAGCTGTGCTAATTGTGTTCTTTGTTCTCTATTTCCACCCGGGGATACTCATCCCAAGGCTTCTAGATATTGTTGTTACCATTGATGTGATCCAAGACCTGTGACGAGATGATGCCAACCAATGAGGACCTATAGAGGTATCCAATCTTGGACCAGGCCGTATCCTGAGCAGATGCTGTGCAGTCACGGAGGAGTGGAGAGCATGAGACTGATTCCTGAAAGACCCTAGTGACCGTCAAGTCTCCGCATTGATTCCGTGGGCCAGCCTGAACACCCGGCGGTGACCTACTCACACCTGCAGCTTCTCCACAAAGAATGTCCAGCCTCCGACGCCTAGACTGCAGCTCTGCACAAGAAGTTTGGCCAGAGCAGAAATGGTCGTGCCCAACTGAGCCTGGTTTCTCTCTATTTTTTCCCCCTTCACTTTCATCAGTTGGTGACATTTGTTCCTTGTTACTGCCACCCCTGGCTCGCTTGGTTTGGGACATCTGGAGCTGTGCATCGATGGATTTGCCTTTCAGTGTTTGGACTTTCAGCAGTAAAAATGAAGCCACACTAATCTGAGCTTTACTGTTAATTTTCAAGGTATCAATATAGGAATGTTGGTGAAATATAAAATATTAAGAGGATAGTTTTGTAGAGTTACAAGGGATTATTGTCAGCGAAGAATAGCAATGCAAAATGTTTTATTTACAGTATGAAAGTACAACATTAACCTTTATGTAACAATTCATATGCTTGTTTGTTGTAAACACCCTTGTTTGTGGGTCTCTTGGCCATGTTGCCTGGTGTATTAAGGGATATTTCTCATACCTCTTTTTGCGTTCTCAAAAAATCTTTATTTGATGGACTATCTGATTTTCTTCCTACTACTATGACTTCAACCAAAAGAGAATCAAGACAACCTTATGCCTCATTCACATAAGGAGTGACTTCGTAGCTGCCTGTGTCTCTGGGTGGCGAATGAAGATGCTAGTGGGCGATCCTACCTCGAGGTTGCTTAGGTAATGTTTATGCTGTTATTCTAAGAGAGTAACTCTAATCAAACACACCTGAACAAGCTAATCAAGGTTTACTAGGTATACTTGAAAAATCCAGGCAGGTATGTTGAGGCAAGTTGGAGCAAAACCCTGCAGGGACACCAGCCCTCCAGGACCGAGACTGGTGATTCCTAGAGTAAATGAATTTATGTGGTGCTGAAAGCAAACATTTCAAAGAAAACACTAGGTATTAAAGGAAACAGTACATAAAATGTTCATTGGCAAAAATGATCATGAAAAAAGTAATGTGTTCTCGGCCATTGAGGCTATTTATCTGCTGCAAATGTGGGTCTGTGTACGTCTACAGCACGGAGGAATACAACCGGACTCTGACTGCAGAAGCTGAGAGAGGATCATGTGAGCTCTACTGTTGCTCTTATTGGCTGTCGCTCAAGTAAGTCGCTCTTCATTTACGTAAACTTGAAGGATTCTCAACTTTGTTGTGTCGCTCAACACGCCCACCTGGTTGCTAAAGGCTGATTTATACTTTTGTGTCTGATCAGCGTGATCCGGGCTCTTCCAAAATGTTAGCTGACAGTAGGTTTTTCTTATGTTCCTCTTTGTTGAGTTTCTTCGTGGGCGTTTTGTTTAGCTACTTTAATGTACAAGTAGCTAAAACTCGCTCATTCAGAGGCGGGAACCAGCGAACGTACTTTAATCATAAGGTAAACAAAACAAAAGTTTCCATCTGGAGCTCCTTCATGGGACTCTACACTTGTAAACTCTCGTTCTATCGGGTTCACGGCTCTCATCGCCGCCCATGCTCATCACAGCTACCAAGCCAACCAATCAGAGCTTGTGCCCATATCAAACACACCTGAACCAATTAATAAGGACCTGAACACCACGTGATAATTACAGGCAGGTGTGTTTGATATGGGTGGCAACTGAAATCTGCAGGAAGGTGGCTCTCCAGGAACAGGGTAGGCCACCCCTGGGCTAATACATGGACTTCTACAATTAGTATCAATCATGAACTCATGATTTGATATTTTAAAAATATTTAAAACGTGTACATCGAAAAATGTAGTAACATTACATTCATGATATTTACTCAACAAGGAAATCAACGAGCACGTCTCATTTTTCCCTCAACTTTGTTCATATATGTACATTTAACACTGATAATATTGCAGAAACATTTAATAAAGCAAAGCCCATAAACATACAGTGCACCTAAAAATAAAACACCACCATTTTTTTTGTCTCCTGGTGTTCGGGATCTTATAGCATAGGCTTTTGAAGTTCTATGTCTTTGGATATATGTTAGTGCAGGGATCATCAATCTCGGTCCTGCAGGGTCGGTGTCCCTGCAGGATTTAGCTCCAACTTGCCTCAACACACCTGCCTGGATGTTTCAAGTATACCTAGTGAGACCTTGATTAGCTTGTCCAGGTGTGTTTGATTAGGGTTGGAGCTAAAATCTGCAGGACACCGGCCCTCCAGGAACAAGTTTGGTGACCCCTGTGTTAGAGGTTCATTCCGTTGTGGCGACCCCTGGTGAATAAAAGGTAGTAAGCCGAAAGAAAATGAATGGATGGATGTTTGTTTATTGTTCTGCACTTTTTCTCTTTATCTCTATGGTGGCTATCCAGAGCACGGAACAGGCTAATACTCGAAGGCCGATGGTCATTCCCTGAAAGAGGAACCTTATAGGGGCAAATAATAGTATGCGTTAGTTAGAGCTTTTGTACTTCAAAGTACATAAGACTGAATTGTGGAATACAATAGATTGACCAGATGTGCTCACCTGAAGGTCTCATTGTCGTAAATTCTGCAGGCACCCCTTCCACAGGATTTCCTCTGGCCCCATTTCAGACAGGTGGTGTCAATGAGACCACCAAAGTAAATGGGTGCAGGAATACCACCTGTAAGGAAGTTAAAGTGCATTATAAACAATGCTGAGTGTTGGTCTAGGATAAGAAAACAAATACATGGATATTATACCTTATAAAACACCACAAACTCACCCAAAACTCTAATAGATAACAGTAACACTCCCACAGAGAGAGCCTTCATCTCAGGATCCACAATCCTGCAAGAACACGTTCTCAATAAGCATTTTTGGATATAAACTCAAATATCCATACATTTTTCACAAATCCGTATGTAGCTTTATATAAGATTGCCCTCTTTTGATCTTTGCATTGTAGGTAGGGTTACCGGCGACCTTCCGCAACAAGGAGGCCAAGGACCATGGCCTCTAGCGTCTGTCGCTAGAGCACCTTTAAGGCTGATTTATACTTCTGCGTCAAATGCCGGCGTATGACACATAGCCCTTCGCCGTGGCCGTCGCTGACGTGCACCTCTCAAAAAATGTAACTACACGTCGCAACGACGCGTAGCGTAAGCTCTGTGATTGGTCGGCTTAGTAGCGCAAGGTGCGAGCCTGATGGAGCGATTGTTTACAAGTGTGGAGTCCCGTGAAGGAGCTCCGGATGGAAAGTTTTGTTTTGTGTTCACCTCATAGTTATAGTTGTTGCACGTCCGCCAGTTCCTGCCTCAAAATGAGCGAGTTTGAGCCACTTGTACGTCCCGGAAGTGTTCAGGAAAAGCAAAACAGCAGCGAAGAAACTCGACACAGAGGAACATTTACACCTCACTGCCAACTAGCGTTTCGGAAGTGTTACTGCAGACCAACAGAGACAGCGCGCAGAAGTATAAATGCACAGCTATGCGCGTTGCATGCGCCGTGGGTTACGCCGGTCACTTGACGCAGAAGTATAAACCAGGCTTTAATGGTCAGAGGAGTGAGGTTTACCTGCACATCACTTACTAAATGACCTCCGTTACACTAACCTTGACTTTGTAGACTTTGGCTGCGTCCGAAAGCGCCTACTACTCAGTAGGTACTGCATTTGAATTTAAACGTACTCCTCGGCCGTTAGAAAAGTACGTTCTATACAGTATGAAAGTGAAAAGTATGAATGGAGTTCGGACGTACTACATCCGCCATTTTGGCATTGCCACGTGACCTACCTGCGTCAATTGCGTCGCTTTACTCCCATTCATGGCATCATGGGATAGCGCAGCATGCATGGGATGCGCACTTCAGAATCTCGCCGGAAGTAGTAAGTCATCCGGGTACTTCTCGCATACTGGTTTTCGAATTCTATAAATTCGGACATACTACTCGGCTCGCATACTGATTTTAGCGTCCTATATAGTATGGAAGTATGCGGTTTCGGACGCAGCCATTGTCTTGCTTTTAGCTCTGCGAAATATGTGAAATTCACCAAACTTTAAAATGATTGAGGCGGAGGAGGGAAAGACGTTTGCCCCTACGGGTTATATATGGTGTCCAGTGTTGTCATGACTTGGGGGTTGGGCAGTTGGGCGTTATTTAACACGATTGTGGGGTATAAAATGACAATTTTGGGGGTTTTGCAACTGAATGTCGTCACACCCCACCCCCACCCCACTTTTTGGTATTTTCGCGCCCATCACAACCCCCCAACTTTTCATTCTGGTGTTTTTTTTTTCATTTTGGTGGGTTTTGGATAGTTGGAATCAGTCAGCTACATCTTGCAACCCTGATGGTGTTCTCCATTCAAAGGGATTCGTGAGTATGAGAGGGATCTCTGGTCTGCTGGGGGCAAATTGTGGCGACCGACCACTTTCCTCCTCCATGTTTCCTCTGTTGTGGTTTATTATGTCGGCGTCTCCACACACGCTTTTCCATCTACGTCATGAAACCGTGGAGAAATACCACATTGTCTCAAGTTTAATGACGTATAAAACAGAACGCCTCAATAAATCTGATCTGCCAGTTAACATGACAGTCGCATTGTCACATATCCAATGTATATCTGATTTATTTCCACATATAAAGGAGGCTCTCTGAATATCCGAACGCATGCGTTCTTTTCGTGTTTACACGGTCATAGAACAGATTCGATCTGTGTCACATTTGCACAAAAAAACGGAATCGGGTCACATTTAACTGGCAGTGTAAGAGGGGCTGTGGCGAGGGGGCGGGGCCGAGAGCTTTGGTAATGGAATGAGGTTGCCGCGTAAGTGGATACACCTGTGGCGTGCACCAGCCTCGAATCCCACGGAGGGAGCTCCGGCCTATAAGAGGAGGAACGATTACAGAGGAAGCCGAGAGAGGACCGGGCCTGGACATATTGTTTTACTTTTGTTTTCAGTTTGACTCATGCTCCTTGACTCTAAAGCCCCTGTAATGAAGTTTACGGCCCTTTAGCTGCCAGGAAGAAGAGGCGGATAACCGAAGTTTTTAAATATTTATTGATAACACAGACGGCAACTCCTAACGGAGACTGCCGTCCGTTTGTTTTGGTTTAGACAGCAGTCTCCGTTAGGAGTTGCCGTCTGTGTTATTAATAAATATTTAAAAACTTCGGTTCTCCGCCTCTTCTTCCTGGCGGCTAAAGGGCCGTAAACTTCATTACAGGGGCTTTAGACACCACTTAAACGAGCTAATCAAGCTCTTTCTGAGTATTGTAAAAACTTCTAAGCAGGTGTGTTAAAAGAAGGTGGAGTTAAACTATGCAGGACACCAGCCCTCCAGGACTAAGATTGGGCATAGCAATGAGCCATTCTGAAAAGTACATTCTGTTCGACACTAAACAAAATTCCTGCACAAAAGATTGTACGTGCCCATAAGTTGTACCCATTGAATTCCTCAATTGCAAAGGGCCATTTGAAGTGGCCAGTTTTGAGTACTTCAATTTGGAATGAGAATTTAATGTGACAGGCATGATCGTTTTCAGTCTGAAGTAGTGTATGTGTTTGAACTGCCAAAGTCAGAGTGGTCAAAAGTCATTCGTTTCTAATGTAAGCATATTCCAGCGATCTTGGATGGTATGTGAGTGCAAAAAGGGATCGAAGAAACTTGAAATCAGTTTATAGTAATGATATATGACGAAGTTCACCTGCATTCAGTCAGAAAATAAGAGTACACCGCTTTCAAGAATTCCAGAGAACACAGTCTGGTAAATATTGGTTCAGACCATGTAGTTTACAAAACAAAATTAAAGAGAGGTTGATTGCTGTGGTGAGTTTTACAGTTTTTCGGGTTTATAATAATAATAATAATAATAATTCCTTACATTTATATAGTGTTTTTTCTGGACACTCAAAGCACTTTACACAATGGGGGGAATCTCCTCATCCATCACCAGTGTGCAGCATTCACCTGGATGACGTGACCAGACCAGACTGCACACCAGACACCAGCTGGAAACCATGAGACTGAAGCCAATTATGATGTGGAAATGGTTAGGAGGCCATGATGGCTAGAGGCCAGTGGGTAAATTTAGGGTAGGATGCCGGAGTTAAACTCATGCTCTGTTTCGAAAGACATCCTGGGATTTTTACCCACCACAGGGAGTCAGGACCTCGGCTTAACGACTCATCTGTAAGACAGTGCTCACTAGACAGTATAGAGTCCCCATCAGTATACTGGGGTGTTAGAACCCACACAGACCACAAGTTGATGCCTCCTACTGGTCTCACTAACACCACTTCTGGCAGCAACCTAGCTTTCCCATGTGGTCTCCCATCCAGGTACTGACCATGCGTAGCCCTGCTTAACTTGTTGGGCGCAAGTTAATGTTAGGACCAAAACAAGTAAACATCTTGGGAAGCAAAACATTATGTAAACAGCACACAACAATATGTATTTTTTTAAGATAGAAGGTAAACAGAACCTCATAGAAAAAGTGAGAAAGGGAACAGCGCCAAGACTGTACACAAACAAGACCAAAGACTGCACTCCCAGAAAAACGTAGATCATTTGGTTGCAGTTGGGATCTCGTGAACACTGTCCAAGAACTGCAGAGGAGTTGCCAACGCTCAGTCCCCAGCTCTGAATACACCTGCAGTCATGGAATGTCTGACAAAAATGAGACAAGAGAGAGGAAAATACACTTACAAACATGTAATAATTGAAGGAGATAGTGTAAGATTGTTATTCGCTGCATTCACCTTATTCCATCCTGCACCCTGGGTGGAATTGCAGCCCGCATGGCAAGGGGAGATGTAGGTCACTCCATTCTCTCCACACACTGGATCCCACTGGAGGTCTGGACACCCACAGTCAGCATTGCAAGAAGGGAGTACATCGCTTATTACACCTTGAACTTCAGTAGATCTGCCACATGAACAATTCCTTGTTATGTTGTCCTACAGTGTACAAGTGATTTGAAAACTAATGGATTGAAAAGGTGGATAGAGATAAAAGTACCCTTGATAGGGCACTGTAACCCCTGCGACATCTAGATTTTCACAGCTGAGAGCGAAGAAGGGTACGGCCAAAAGCAACATGGTGACACCGGTGAACAAATTCACTCTTGCGGATGCCAGCAAACCCCATTTAAACCTCTTCATCATCAACCCACTCAGGAAAATACCCAGAGCCACTGCCGGAATACATGTCACTCCTATGTACAGTGTACAAATATGCAACCAGTTAAAACAGACTGGAAATACAGGAAAATTCTAGTAACCATCACAGTTGTCACCTATCAGAAAGTTGGCTTTGGATGCACTTTGCCCAAACTGCTGTTCCAGATACTTTGGCGTGTATGTTGCAACTATGGCGAAGTCGTTGAATGCCACTATACTGTACGCCAGGTACAGAATGTAGATCTTATTGGTGAGCAGGCGCTTAAAAGTTGGTGCAAAATCTAGAAAACAAGTAAACGGCACAATTTTTAAACAATATTGTCAAAAGAGATGACTTAATGTTGCTATACCTTTGATTATCTCTGTAAGGCTGGGTGTGGTTTTGTGCTGTTCTGAGGGGTGGTCTAGCTCGGAGGTTTGGGAGTTTTCAGGCAGAGCTCTTGGCAAGAACCAGAAAGGAAAAGCAGCGAGGAGAGTCAACAAGCCAGACACCACAAAACCCAACCACCAAGCCCCAACCCAGCGAGAGTCCTGCGGTGTGATGGTCACGCTTTCTGAGAAGAGAATATGCAAATAAATATATCTGTTAGCTCAGTGGTTTTCCACCATAGTCCTGGAGGACCACCAACACTGCATATTTACGATGTCTCCTTAACAAAGCTATATAAATAAAGATTACAATTCAAGTTTTACACTAAGGTTTACAATCAAATATACGCTACCTATAAGAAGACCAAACCTTTATCAGATTTGTAATGATGTATAAAGTTCTCCTAAAGACACTCCTTCCAAGCCAACCACAGTTAATGACCTTGTCTTTGTGCTGGCTATCCCTGTTTTTGGACAATCTTCCTTCTACTTCCTGTGCCTACAATTTACCCTAAAGACTGAGACCAGCGGCACTGCTGGGGGGCTGCCGGGCTTTCCTGTCTCTTCTTTGGCCTTATTCCCATATGGATGCGGGGTCGGCTATTTGGAACAAGTCCTTCCATTTAGACTTGTCCATATGATATGGACAAGTCCGTAGTGAATTTCACTACAGATAATTTAGCCTACCCAAGTCACCTGCAGCATGTCTTTGGACTGTAGGGGAAACCGGAGCACCCGAAGGAAACCCACGCGAACGCAGGGAGAACATGCAAACTCCTCACAGAAATGCCAACTGAGCCGAGGTTCGAACCAGCGACCAAGCGACCTTCTTGCTGTGAGGCGACAGCACTACCTACTGCGCCACTGCTTCGCCTGTCTGTTAGATAGTAATATGTTCAGCTGCTATTTCACATATGGCACTCAAAACTGTTCTTGTTCATCTCATTGGTCATGGTAACCCTCAGATCTTGATGCAAGTGTTTCTTAATCCTAGCTCAGTCATTTCTGGTAGTGATGGGTCGCTCATTTTGAACGAATCTTCAATATGACTCGGGAACTACGAGTCCTCTCAGGGAGTGATTCGTTCATCCGTGCGTGCGCACATGTGTGCAGGTGGTATCGTTAATTTCAAGTCTTCATCACAATGGCAGAAGCCAATCATACGCGTTTAGAGCCGGAAAAAGAATTGATCCGTTCATCTCTCGAGTCCTCTATCGGGTCTGAGTCACTCGTTCATCACGGGCCAATCATGTGCGTTTAGAGCCGGAAAACGAATTGATCCACTCACCTCTCGAGTCCTCTATCAGTTATGAGTCACTCGTTCCTCACAGGCCAATCATACACGGTTAGAGCCGGAAAAAGAATTGAACCGTTCATCTCTCGAGTCCTCTATCGGGTCTGAGTCACTTGTTCATCACGGGCCAATCATATGCGTTTAGAGCCGGAAAACGAATTGATCCACTCACCTCTCGAGTCCTCTATCAGTTATGAGTCACTCGTTCCTCACAGGCCAATCATACACGGTTAGAGCCGGAAAAAGAATTGAACCGTTCATCTCTCGAGTCCTCGGGTTTGAGTCATTCTGTCACGTGATGAACGAACGATCATGGCTCCTATCGGCTCAGACTGTGCATTGATTAAGATTATATGTGTCTGTCAGTGTAACGTGAATGAACCCCTGACATTTGAAGACATGAAGAGGTGAGCTGAGCAAAGAGACAACAATACCTTCATAGACAAAAGAGCAGGTCAACATTGAATTATTATTTTCTTCTTCTTATATTCTAGTTATGACATATTTGTCGTACAATCAACCTTTTGGGCTAGTTGTAGATGTGTTTGGAAGCAATTCGTAACATTTTAATAATAATATGGCAAATTGAACCAAATGAACGAAATGACTCGAAAAAAGATTCGTTCATCTTGATGAACGAGACTCAAAGATCCGAGACAGTAAAATGATCCGATACTAATTTCTGGTGCTGCTTAACCACTTTTCAGAACCAGTTCATTAGGTTTTGAAAGAGCCCCTTTGAAAATAGGCCCGAGTTTTCAAGCCAGCCCTGGAACTGACTTGGTGAAAAAGAGGTATATTCTGCCATCTCTAAAACCTTATGCTTGTGTGTTCCGAAGTTCTACCTTGATAGATTTCAAAGTAATATTGAATTTTTGTATTATTTTTGTTGCTGACATCTAAGGTAGATGCGTCCCAATGTTTATCTCACCTTGATTCACTAAGTCAAAGTCCACATAAAGATTAGCACATAGAGATCCAAGAATGAAACCAAAAATTGGCCCAATCCCTCTGAGTGTGTTCAGACAACCTACGGAAAAGAAGAAAAAATTGATCAAATCTTGTAGATTGACAGTGGTAATACTCCTACTACCAATAATATTCATCTTCTCACCAATGTAAAAAGCAGAGTTTTCTGGCCGTGCATAATCATCTATGAATGACATTCCCAGAGGGACAATGCTGGCTTCCCCAATCCCACGCATAGCGTTTCCCAAAAGCACTACCACCCACAAAAGTGAGCTTTCCGCTTCAATTATTTGGCACTCTAGATAACCCATACAGTGTGAACTGTTAGGTATTGCATTTTACAATTAAAACATCCCATATGCCTTTCACATAACGCATTACCAGAGTAAGGCTGTTGAAGAGTTTCCTGAGAGTCGGATGAGCATGTAGAGATCACAGTGAAATTACCAGCATCATTAGTGTGGGTGGCAGCTGTACCATACTTGTACCTGTCAGAAAAAAAACAGAGACAAATTTAGCTCATACTGTACAATATTTCAAATATAGATCCTAAAGAATGCATATATTTAAAGAGTGGATCTTCGTTAACTTTATGTGAATATACTTCTTTATTCAAAACTCACCGGCCCATAAGGAAATGAGGTGACGCCATTAGCAGTGTTCCTATACCCATCAGCAGAACCCCTGCTCCAATGATCTTGGGCCTGTGAAACTTAGCGCCAACATAGCTTACCAGTGTAATGACCAACATATTACCTGTAAGTAAAGTACATTGTCAACAAGTTGTACATTATTTTACAGCATACCATCATTCAACTGTCCCATTTGTATACACTGTAGTTCAGTCACATCACAGCATCAATGGTGTGACACAAAGGTATAAGCACTCATCTACTGCCCTCGTTTCACACTACACCACAATGTATCTAATGCACTATAAAGATGAACCTGTACTTGTCATATTAATAATTGTATTTGCAACTTAAAATGTAAATCACGGTTTGCACATGCAGACAATACAAAAAAACTCACTTCATCCACGCGTCAAATTCACTTCACAACAGATGCGGATTCAAGTGTTTGGCAGGACTTCTGTCTTCCCGGTGACTCTAGCTTCATTGCTAAATGGCTAACATGGATTTTATTGAGAAAATAGCAACCCGGGCTCATTGTGGAAACGTAGCCACGCAGACGTTTCTGCAGACCGCGAAATACGTCCCGGAGGTACGTATTCGAGCAGTTTTTGTTTTCGCGGATCCGCGAGAGGCCGCTGTGCGCGCTTTTTCGCATCTTGAATGCCTCTCGGGAGCGCGCGCCATTCGCGCCCGCGCTGTTCTCGCGTGAAAAGCCGCCGGAGGCCGCTGTGGAGCGACCGTCCGTGCGACTAACTGGCTAAACGACTGAACACTCAACCGACCCAGCTGCCCTCCTCTTCCTCCTTCCCTAAACCCAAGCGACGATTTGCAGAAGCCGTCCAGAAAAAAAAACAAAAGCCCTCGTCCGATTTTGACCGCGTTATCGGATCTCGCCGCGTTCTCGCCCTTATTTTTTGGATTCTGTTTTTCATCTTAACTGATTTCTGGAACCGCTTTTCCCCGGACTCGATTCCTGTCGTCCCCGTGGCCGGCTCCTCCTCCTCCAGGCCTCCGCTCCGCCGACGTAACACTGAGAGCTAAGCGGACAAGCTGGTTGCAGCGGGAAAGCCCTCCACACGTAGGTGAGCCGTCAGCCGGCGAACACGAAGAGGAGGAGCGACGTCACACCGCCCCATAGCGTTCGCTCGAAAAAAACTAAACGCGGCCATACGTACCTCCGGCCACGTAATTCGCGGTCTCCAGAAACGTCTGCGGGGCTACATTTCCAGAATGAGCTTGGGTTGGAAAATAACTGTGTTTGTGCTTTATGAAGGCTGAAAAACAGCATAGATTCGTTTGGAGCCGTGTCTGAGGTCTTGTTTACACTAATGCGTTTATGTTTTAAAATGCATAAGTTTTGCTACGGTTACGCCATCCGTCCATACAGTGGAATTTTTCGAGCGCCGAAAACAAAGCGTTTTGGAAATGCTGGAGAGGCCATTTTCATTCTAAAACGCTGCTGCTCCGTCTCAGTGTGGATGAGGGAAAACGGCGGCATCTGATAACAGAGGCGGGGCTGCAGACATTCACCTCTCTGATTGGGGCTTTCCTCAGTATTAAGTAGCCTACACACAGTTCAGTCCTGCATCCTCTCCTGTTAGAGAGTCCTGAGCATATAAGATCCTCGAGCCTTGGGCTCCTTCTATTAGCCAGGCGAAAGGAGAGTTTGAGTTCAGGTAGATCTCAAAAACTTCCCTGGCGTATTTATGGCTACCAGGATGGTTACCAAAACTCTGTAGTTTATCGGAATCGGTGCTACATCATAAAAGTCTGAAGTATCGATAAGTTTTGACGTTAACGGTTCTGGAGAATAAGCATTACTTCCAGTAGCATCATTTAACTGACCAACCTTTTCTAATTTGCGTTATTCGTCTGCACAGTTGGCAATCTCACATGATAACGGCTTGTGTTTTCGTAGACAGCAACAATGCCCGTTGCAACAAATGCAAGCAGTTGTTTTCTTGTATAAGCGAAACGCAAGCGATCTGGCTAAGTGAAGGTATCTTTCAAAAGTGCATTAACTGCAGATAGACAAATGAAAAGTTTTCAACTGTTTTGCTTTTTTTTTTTAACATTACCCTGCTGAAAAATCCAGCTTAAACCAGCCTAGGCTGGTTGGCTGGTTTTAGCTGGTCGACCAGGCTGGTTTTAGAGGGGTTTTGGCCATTTTCAGGCTGGTTTCCAGCCATTTCCAGCCTGGTCTTAGCTGGTCAGGCTGGAAAATGACCAGCTAAATCCAGCTAAAACCAGCTTGACCAGCCTGGTTTAAGCTGGACATAGCTGGTTTTGGCTGGGCTCCCAGCCTGGCTAGGCTGGTCAAGCTGGTTTTAGCTGGTCATCTCCCAGCCTGACCAGCTAAGACCAGGCTGGAAATGGCCAAAACCCCTCTAAAACCAGCCTGGTCCACCAGCTAAAACCAGCCAACCAGCCTAGGCTGGTTTAAGCTGGATTTTTTAGCAGGGTAAAAACGTTATAAAAAAATAAAGTGTTGTTAATTCTGTTCCATTAGTTTTTTTTATAAGAAAAACACTATATAAAGTACCGATAATAGAATCGTTAAAGTACCGAACCAATAAGTGGTATCGATAAAGGTAGTAATACCGTTAAAACCTTAACGATACCCCTCTTCTAATGACAGATATAGGGATGGCTAGAGAAAGATATAAGGCTTACTAAGTGCTTGACTATGGTGCCAATTTACTATGTTCAATTTACTTGAGTCGCGCGTTTTTGGACAGTGGAAGGAAACCAGGGGAAACTCACGTGAGCACGCAAACTCTGCACAGGGTAAAGTCTAGATCGGATATGCGGCCGGCCGGAAGTGTGATATGCACATTAATATAGCAGCATTTTTTTATGGTGCTCTATAACAATAATTAATATTTTTACAGTACTGTGACGGTTGGGTTTAGGGTTGGGGTGGGGGTAGGCGTTAAAAAATACAATTTATTGGGTAATTTAATAGATAACATAAATAATACTCTGTACATCTACTGTTTTTACGTTACTGGGACGGTTGGGTTTAGGGTTGGGGTGGGGGTAGACATTAATAAAATACAATAAATGGGAAATTTAATAAATAATATAAATAATTCTTGTTAACTTCCGGCCTGCAAACATATCCGATCTAGCAACAACCGGACTTTACCCAGTGACATTCTTGCTGTGAGGCAACAGTGCTAATGACTAGGCCCCCTTGTCGGCCAAACTATCTCATTCTTCAAGATGAAGATACTGAGGTAAGAAACTGGTTATTTATCGTGAGTTAGGGATCGTCTAATTAGTGAATAATGTTTTAGCTAATGCGCGACCAGTCATGGTCAATAATAAGCTCTTGATCCTTTTGAAATTTGTTTATAAATGAACTTCACAACGTTAGTACAAGCTGGCAATCACAACCTCTCAGATCAAGCAGTTCAAACCCAGCACTTTTTAATATTGTTTCTCCTTTTGAGATATTTCAGTTGCAAAACTTAAATGAGGGAACTGCAGGACTGGGGAAATGTTGAACAAGGTGTTCAGTGGTGCTCAACCCCGTTCCTAAAGCTCGACCTTCCTGCACAGTTCAGCTCCAACCCTGATCAAACACACCTGAACCAATTAACTAGGACCTGAACAGCACGTGATAATTACAGGCAGGTGTGTTTGATATGGGTTGCGACTGAAATCTGCAGGAAGGTCGATCGCCAGGAACAGGGTTGGTCACGGCTGGTTTCCCTGCTGAAAAATCCAGCTTAAACCAGCCTAGGCTGGTTGGCTGGTTTTAGCTGGTCGACCAGGCTGGTTTTAGAGGGGTCTTGGCCACTTCCAAGCTGGTTTCCAGCCATTTCCAGCCTGGTCTTATCTGGTCAGGCTAGGAGATGACCAGCTAAAACCAGCTTGACCAGCCTAGCCAATCTGGGAGTCTAGCCAAAACCAGCTATATCCAGCTTAAACAAGGCTGGTCAAGCTGGTTTTAGCTGGATTTGGCTGGTCATTTTCCAGTCTGACCAGCTAAGACCAGGCTGGAAATGGCCAAAACCCCTCTAAAACCAGCCTGGTCAACCACCTTAAACCAGCCAACCAGCCTAGGCTGGTTTAGGCTGGATTTTTCAGCAGGGTTAGATTATTGTCTGTGTGTGCGGAGTCAGTAGAGATTCAGCTTCTCATTTAAGAGATGTGTGTGCAACCTTCAACTTAAAAATACAACTATTAATACATCAAGTTCCCACATTCAGACTTTCCACCTCTCGAGTTTTGCTACCGACTTTCCTTCATGCTCAACTCACCCATTTCAAAGCTGCCATCAATGAAACCAACGGTGGAGCTCGTGATCTCAAACCGCTTCTCAATCTGAGTGATGGTGCTTTTGGTGTAAGACGCCGTCATGGATTTAGAGAAGTAACAGAAGGCGAGTGCGCAGATAAAGATCTTTTTAGACACAAGGATAGAGAGAACATCTATTACAATTAAATCAAACGATCAGTTAATAGTAGTTTAAACTTCAGGCAAACGGTCTTACCTTCAGCCTTGGAGAGCAGCATGTGGTTGAAGAGGCTTTCTCATTTCTGTCTGAATATTCCATCCCATTTGAGCTGCCTTCCATGATGAACTATTGGCCATTTGGAAAAAGACAACACGCACGTCAGATTCACTGGCAGATCCAGTTGAAATCTGGTTGGCTCCGGTAATGCTCTGTCCTCTCAGTCATTGCTGATTTAAATGAAAGCTCGGACATGAACCTGCATTTCAATTCGCGTTGAACACTGGATGATACCTGATACTTCAGCTACCCTGCTGAAAAATCCAGCTTAAACCAGCCTAGGCTGGTTGGCTGGTTTAAGCTGGTCGACCAGGCCTGTTTTAGAGGGGTTTTGGCCACTTCCAGGCTGGTTTCCTGCCATTTCCAGCCTGGTCTTAGCTGGTCAGGCTGGGAGATGACCAGCCTAGCCAAGCTGGGAGTCCAGCCAAACCCAGCTTTATCCAGCTTAAACCAGGCTGGTCAAGCTGGATTTGGCTGGTAATTTTCCAGTCTGACCCGCTAAGACCAGGCTGGAAATGGCCAAAACCCCTCTAAAACCAGGCTGGTCAACCAGCTAAAACCAGCCAACCAGCCTAGGCTGGTTTAAGCTGGATTTTTCAGCTGGGTATATTTAATATATGACAAGTGCTTTCATCCCTCTAGAGTTGCTTTCACACTAGCACTTTTGGTCCACACCTGGGTTAATTTCACGAGTCTTCTGAACTCGGGTGTGCATCCTTGAACCCGAGTCCGCCTGAAAGTGGTGGTCTGGGGTTCATGCGAACTCTGGTACGGTTCACTTCTCATACGAATGCAATCGTACCAAATAACGGAAGTGAACCGCCAACTGTACGACAAACTATCGTTTACATAACGTTCATTCGTACGTGTGTCACGCATTGTACCTTAGTTACAAGCAGGACTGAGCCTGGGCAAACACAGTGATGGTTGTCTACTCCAAAACCAGCTTCTGCAGACACTGTTACGTTCTGAAGGTTTATAATAGACGGGAGTCGCTTTCTGTATGTCCAAAACTTAATGATTCAGTAAAAGCAAATCGACCGGGATGTGTGGAAGGCTTTGGCGCTTTGCTTTCGTGAGTAACCTAGCAACAGCCATAAACAAAACAGCAGCTTGATGACTCAATTTCTTTTCGGCTCAGTCCCTTTATTAATCTGGGGTCGCCACAGCGGAATGAACCGTCAACTTATCCAGCATATGTTTTCCACAGCAGATGCCTTTCTTAGCTGCAACCCATCACTGGGAAACACCCATGCCCTTTCATTCATACACATAACCTTCGGACAATTTTTTTAGCCTACCTAGTTTACCTGTACCGCATGTCTTTGGACTTGTGGGGGAAACCGGAGCACCCGGAGGAAACCCACACGAACGCTGGGAGAACATGCAAACTCCACACAGAAATGCCAACTGACCCAGCCGAGGCTCAAACCAGCGACCTTCTTGCTGTGAGGCGAGAGGACTACCTACTGCAGCACCGCGTCGCCCATATCATATGTGCATAGGTTAAAAGTTAAACGAAGCTCTGATATAGTTGTGTTTAACATGTATTAAACATTCATATAGAACATACATGGCTTAGACAGTGGTTTTAAACCACAATAATTCAATATGGAGTAGTAGAGCCCAGCATTTGAGCCCGATGGGGCCCGACTTTTTTTATGCCCCTCAGGCAGGGCTTCGGGTCAATTTTCACGTCATAGCTAGCAGGCATGTCGGGCTTACATTAGAAAAAACTTTGATTGCGCTAGAGATGCCTTGCGCATAGAGATTTCCAGCCACGTACAATAGAGAACATTAAGAGAAAACTTGGCAAACTTAAAACTGTGAAAAACGCTAGAGGAAGGACCGCTCCAGCACCGCTCCACCTCGTCATCCCTTATTCTTATTTCAATCTCAAGAAACACTGATGCTTTCGGTCAAAGGCTACATTATTAAGAGCATTCATTGTGACATAATTCGTAGAGTTTCTTCGAAATCTAAATTTAATAAAAGCACATCAGCACCAAGGAAAAATCAGACGCTCAAGGCGTAATCTTTAAAATTATGACATATTTAAAAAAAAATCCAATATAGGATTGTGGTAGTGAAGCATTAATTAAATCGTTAATTTCCACTGACCAAAAATCATCCGCACGCACAGTTGAGTAATGGATGGGCTCAAATAAAAAAATATAATTCGTTTATTTGTCTTGGAAAAATTTATTTTTAAACGAATTTCGTACAGTTTGTCTTTTTTAGCGTAAATATTTATTTTTGTTGGTCAATATTTACGTCATAGCTAGCACGCATGTCGGGCTTACATTAGAAAAAACTTTGATTGCGCTAGAGATGCCTTGCGCATAGAGATTTCCAGCCACGTACAATAGAGAACATTAAGAGAAAACTTGGCAAACTTAAAACTGTGAAAAACGCTAGAGGAAGGACCGCTCCAGTACCGCTCCACCTCGTCATCCCTTATTCTTATTTCAATCTCAAGAAACACTGATCGGTCAAAGGCTACATTATTAAGAGCATTCATTGTGACATAATTCGTAGAGTTTCTTCGAAATCTAAATTTAATAAAAGCACATCAGCACCAAGGAAAAATCAGATGCCCAAGGCGTAATCTTTAAAATTATGACATATTTTTAAAAAAATCCAATATAGGATTGTGGTAGTGAAGCATTAATTAAATCGTTAATTTCCAATGAGCGAAAATCCTCCGCACGCACAGTTGAGTAATGGATGGGCTCAAATAAAAAAATATAATTCGTTTATTTGTCTTGAAAAAATTTATTTTTAAACGAATTTCGTACAGTTTGTCTTTTTTAGCTTAAATATTTATTTTTGTTGGTCAATATTTACGTCATAGCTAGCACGCATGTCGGGCTTACATTAGAACAAACTTTGATTGCGCTAGAGATGCCTTGCGCATAGAGATTTCCAGCCACGTACAATAGAGAACATTAAGAGAAAACTTGGCAAACTTAAAACTGTGAAAAACGCTAGAGGAAGGACCGCTCCAGCACCGCTCCACCTCGTCATCCCTTATTCTTATTTCAATCTCAAGAAACACTGATGCTTTCGGTCAAAGGCTACATTATTAAGAGCATTCATTGTGACATAATTCGTAGAGTTTCTTCGAAATCTAAATTTAATAAAAGCACATCAGCACCAAGGAAAAATCAGACGCTCAAGGCGTAATCTTTAAAATTATGACATATTTAAAAAAAAATCTAATATAGGATTGTGGTAGTGAAGCATTAATTAAATCGTTAATTTCCAATGAGCGAAAATCATCCGCACGCACAGTTGAGTAATGGATGGGCTCAAATAAAAAATATAATTCGTTTATTTGTCTTGGAAAAATTTATTTTTAAACGAATTTCGTACAGTTTGTCTTTTTTAGCTTAAATATTTATTTTTGTTGGTCAGTTAGCTACTAGATAAAATAGAAGAACGAATAACATGAGGTCAAGTGCTTCAAAACAAGTGTGCTATATGCTTACGCACCAAAACATCAACTGGATTGTCAAATATAATAGTAATCTAGCCTAAATAAAAATTAAAATGGGTTTGAAACACCTTGAATGGTAGCGGTTCCACGCGAGGAGGCTGCACAGCTGGCGGATCTGAGTTGTCCGATGAAAGAGACACAGGCTGAGCCTGGTGCTTCCCTGGCTCAGGTGCCGATGAGACTGCGGTTTCCACCCTGTGCAAAGGATCAATATTTGTCTCATTAGTTTTAGGCCTTTTGGCAAATGTCTCAATTAAGTTTAGCCATTTAAAAAAGAGCGTTTACTCATTTAGAAGCTTGTATTAAACAATAGCTATATGAATTGTACGTTTTAGAGTGCGGAAAAAATGCCAGCAAAACTAAAGCCAACAGATTTTCTCGATCACCCACCATGCAGTTGCATACACACTTTCAAACACACGAATGCACACCTTTATTTATTTTCATTCTTTCCTGCTTTGTCAATATATCGTGTTTAATAACCAATTTAATTGATGTAAGAAATAAAATAAAAAAGGTACCTCTCATGGTAGGTACGCGCTGTGCATACAGCCATACGGCTGCAGGCGTCGCTGAGTTAAATTGAGTAAACTCATCGTGGACAACATACTGCTTGAATATCGATATCACTTAATCGAAATCTTACATTTCAAGAGTTCCCACTTAGATATGCTTGGCGTTTATAGCAGGTTTGGCATGCTGTCCCAGGAGAGAACCCTGAGCTCGGAAATACTTGAGCCCAAGGCTCCCACCCGATCAATAAGCATATAAGGGGATCCGAGATCAGGTAGGTCTCGAGAGCTCCCCCTTAGAGAAGGGAGGAAAAGGAGGAGATGGGGTGGAAGGGGGGCTTCTTCCAAAACGAAGATGGAGCAGTATGGAGAAAACCATCCATTTATAGTAAACTAGGATCCCTCGAATTGGATTATTACTGATTACAGATGAGAAGCCAGTCGTGCTCAATCATATCAATTGCTCCTCTTGAAATTAGTTCATTTAAAAAAACACACAAACAATAAAAGTTTTTCTAAATTATTCTAATAAAAAAAACTAAACGAACAAACATCAACTTTCTATTAAATACAACTCAGTATAAGCTTTTTGGCGGGAAAAAAAAAAAACAGGCTTTGATCCAAAAATTATAATGAGTTGTTGGACAAGGGCCGGACTACAGCCTGTGCGTCTCGAGCCAGGGACTAGATTTAAGGCCCGTGCAGGGCTCTATGGTGTAGGGCCTCCTTCTGCAGCCAATACAGCATCAATTTGTCACAGGAATGAGCAATACAAGTCCTGCACAGTGGTCAGAAGGATCTTCCAAAACTTCCCAAAGTGGCTTACTAATATTTTGGTCTGGTGACTGTGCAGGCCATGGCGGACGAAGAACTTCACTTTCATGTTCATCAAACCCTTTTGTCGCCAGTCTTGCAGTATTGGTGCATTGTGCTTGCATTGAAGTAGTCCTTGGCAGGTACTTGTCCATCTGGCACAAGTATTGGTCCTAGGGAATAACATGATAGTGGAGCCCAAACCATCACTGATCCACCCCCATGCTTCAGTCTGGGCATGCATCTTGGTGGTGTGATTCTTTTAATCGAGGGTCATTCTGAAAACGTAGTCCTGTAGACGTTTCTGTAGACCGCAATATATGTAGCTGGAGGTATGTATGGCTGCATTTTATTTTTTAAGCAAACGCTATGGGGTGGTATG